GGCAGGCATCAAAATTGATGTCAATCACTCTTAAAGGCTATTTGCTTTTAAGAAGGATTTTAGCTTCAGCAGCACCAATAATAGTGTAAATTTGAGTCTCAAATTTTATCTTTAGTCTTGTCATATGATGGCCCTGTAGTGAGGTTACTGACTTCTCAAGTTGGATTTGGTGCTGCTTTAGTTTCCTGTCGTTGGCGTCATGGCAAAAATATTTAAGCTGAACTCTGAATATTTTGCTCCTCCTCGTGGTCTCACCCGGGAAGAAATTATATGCTTCAAATTGGCTGTTAAGGGTTGATTCACTTCCGCTCCAGACGCCTTCATAGCATATGATTTCTTGCTAAACGCCTAAAATAGGGATTTTCAGGTTTAATATTTTCGATCATGTACAACTATTTTGCTGATATCTGAACCGATCTGCTAGGCCTCAGGAAGGTGCAGCCTTGGGATCATACCAGATCTGAGGTGAGTTTTTTTATTCCGTCAGCACATTCCTGCCCTGCTGTTTGAATTTATTTATTCATCCTTATTGTTTGCTTCCAGGATGTTGCTAACCACTGAGGACATCTTTGACATCTTCAGTTGATTTTGCATTGACGGAGTTTAAGCAAGGTAAGCCTCCTTTAAACCTTCCATCCATTTTTTTTAGGTCTACCTTTTAGCTAACTTCCTGTGGAATTTTTTGCAGATTTGGAAGTCATGGAGTTCTGAGAATATGGACCTCTGGCTATGCCCTGTCAGTAAATTGCAGTCTCCTGTTGCTTCAACTTCGTAAGGAGCCCAACAAGATGCAGCTCTTTCCGAATCAAGCAAAGTTTGTAAACGTTCTTTCTATAACCTGGTGGGGAGGATATTTATTTCAAGATTTGCACTGTGATAATTGAAAATATATCCCTCAGTCCTACTGTTTGTCTTATGTCTTGAATGAGTTTAGCTTTGTTGCTTTAACGTTGCTATGAGTATTAAGTAAATTCTTGTGAATTGACCCTCCATTGAATCTGCCTGTGGATAAATACTTAGCTGCGGTTATGCTATTTATCCAGTTGATATTTTTTCTAAGCCTTGAGAATAAACCATTTGTCATTCTAATATTCTTTGTATTGATTGATTTTTTTTTTTTTTTTGTTCATATGTTCAAATGTGCTTTAATTGCTCATATGCTATATTGAAACGGTTTTCTGAAACTGTTGCAACTGAAGTATGCCAGACTATTTGTTTAATTAAAAAAAAACAAACAACTTCAATATTTGCACTGATTGTAAGTCTTTCTCTATCAAGGGAACCTTATCGGGTGTAAATTTCCGATTTCGTTGAAACTCGGATGGCACTCTAAATTTTCCCTGAACCTCAAAGGTTAACAGGGGTTTACTTAAGCCAGTGTTTTCTGTCTCTACCGCCTGAACGGTTCAAAATAGAGCAAAACGGACAAAAATTTGGTTCAAAGGGCGCTGATTTGACGAGGTACCCCTTAGAACACAGTTTTACATTTTTCAAAAAATATCATTTTTGAAAACCTTACTCCTACCCTATATAAGGATAACCTTAATGTGAGGTTCAGGGAAAAGTTAAAGTGCCATCCGATTTCTACATAAATAGCCCTCAAATTTTCCAAGTTTCGACGAAATCGGAGATTCACACCTGGAAAGGTCCCCTTGTAAGAATGAACGGTGTTCAAGGTGACACGCAGGTAACGGCGGCGCCTTCCCTCCAGCCCTAGCCCCCGCGGGTGCTGCTAGGGTGGGCCGCCATCTCCGCAGGTCTGTTCGGCGGGCTTGTCTATTGAGGTGTTGCCAGGCGCAAATCATATTGAGTCGGCTAAGACATGCCAGTACGTACGTTGGGTT